TTCTAATTCGCTTGTGCCACTGGGAAATCTTTTGTGAATCACTTAGCACTCAGACTCCACCAATGCTCCTTCAAATGTGGAAAATTTTCTTTCTTCCTTTTCCATTCCATTTAGTCCCTGGATTTCAGCCTCAGATCTTTTTACAAAAATACCTCCTCTCCTCTCGAGATGGCTCCGAGTGCCTGGCTCTGAGTATGATAGTTCCCCAATTGATTTGGATCATTCTTCTCTAGTTCACTTTCCCTGCAATACATTCAAGATCTTAGCTTCTCATTGCTTTTCTCTTCCTTTCAGGCTTTAAAAATTTTCATGCTTGGTGTTTTTTTCCCCCTTCTGTCTCTTTAATCTGAATGTTAAATCTTGATGGTCTGCATTATCAGTGATATAGAGTCTCAAGTAACTCTACTACATGCTGTTGTAGAGTCTGATGTATTTGAATTACTGCTAACAACAGGTATAAAAGGAGAAGACCTTCTGGCATTTTAGAGCAGAACTTTAGACTGAGGTTATCTTTGCTGAGCCTCGTATTTTTCCTCATTTCTCCTAGTAATGGCCTTCCATCAGATACATACCATTAGACCCTAGAGGCTGAACAGAATCTTGGGTCGTCATACCTGCACCCACACAAAGGCTCATTCCTCTCCTGCAGAGGGTGCTGCAAAGAGAGTGGGTGTTGCTGGAGACTCAATAATTCTGCCAGACCTCAACATGGAAACTCAAAACATCCCTCCTCTCTTTCTGATGACCAGAGGCTGAGCTAGGAGAGATCTTATTCTTCCCGTGACCCTGCACTCCTATGGATACGTGGCTTCTATGCTGGGTGATTCTTAGTGTCCTGAAAGCAGGTAAATCCTTAGGACTCTAGGAAATGCTCATCTTGGACTTACCTAAAGCAGTTTTAAACAATTCTCTTAATCTTCTTTCTTTTCTCACAGGACACACACAGCCTAAAGTCACCCAGACCCCAAGCCATCAGGTCATAGAGATGGGACAGAGAGTAATTTTAAGGTGTGATCCCATTTCTGGTCACTTATACTTCTACTGGTACCAACAGATCTTGGGGCAGAAAGTGGAGTTTTTGTTTTATATCTATAATGATAATATCTCAGAGAAGTCTGAAAGACACAGTGGCTCATACATCACGCTGAAGATCCAGCCCACAAAGCTGCAGGACTCTGCTGTGTACTTCTGTGCCAGCAGCTAAGCCACATCCTAGCAAAGGAACTTCCAGCCTGTGCACAAACCTTTGTGGGCCTGCCTCACCCTCAGCTACCAACACCCCTCTCCTGCCCAAGAGAGGGAGTCTTGTTGGGTTTGTTGTTGTAGCTGTCTCCAAAGAGATCCGCTTGAAATTAAATTACCATGGTTAGGTTATATTGGTCAGAAATGGTCAGAGGCCACGGGATTTGTGGAATTTTTGCAAACAACACGGGGTATGACTGAGGGCTCCAAAGATGGGAAAGTAGTTTCCTAAGAAATGATCAAGCAACCTATGTCTTCTTTTTATTTCCACTTTGCTATTTTTGTTGGCATTTTTTATTTGTTTTAGTTGTTTAGGAAAATATTTTGATGCATAGGATGGAGAGATGATGACTGAGTTGTTGCTCAGGTAATTTATAGGAAATTATAGAGGATCCCTATTGGAAATTTTCAGAAAGACAATGTGCTCTGAACAAGGACTTCAATATCAATCCATTTTGCCCTGCATGTGGTCAAGAGTAGAACTACCTGATGAGCTTGTCAACCTGGTGTGATGCATTTGGGAAAACAATGTTAGCCCACATGAGAAAGAGATAGAGAATAGTAACTGTGGGGACTAATTTTAGGACATGATTTCAAGACCAGCAGAAGTCTAGACCAGCAAGAGAATCACCAGAATGAAGCCAGGCAGTTCAGGAACAGAATTCAGCAGCAAAAGTCAATGGGCATCTAGAGCTAGAGTCAGCAATGAATTTGTCACTCTCAACTTGACATGGGGCAGCCAGATTAACATCCTGGGATTCAATTCATGACCCCAGTGTTCTTGAAGAGTTGGGATGGGGAAGGTGGAAGGATTCAAAAGGGGAAAAAGTGAATTTCCTTGTAATAAGTCAGGATGAACGTAAGCAACACCTGGGGGAAAAACATGTGAGCAGGGTCATATCAGCTATAAACACCTGAATTCATTTACTCATTTAATCTCTTGCCAGCACCACTGCCATGGAGGCTTAAAGAATAACTGGTTGACTGACATGAGTTTCCACACAACTTTCCCTAGAAAAAAGAATCTCATCTTATAGTTAAGAAATGGAAATAAGGGTTTATGACCATGGAATAAAATTTACTTATTTTTCCTTCATGTACTGCATCACTCAGAAGCATCTGGCCTCACAAAATAAAAAAAAAATTAACTACTAAAATTTCAGCTAAGATGCTGTCTCGGAAATAGCACTTGTGGGACTGGAAGGACATTATCTGGTAATGTGACATACGTTGCAGCATTGGCTGAAATATGGTGCTGTGTGCCCAATGCACGAATGCAAAGGCCAGAGGGCAGAAGCAGGATTATTACACTTCCCCTCACCACTCCCAGTGATCTAGTTGCACATTTGTACTTCCCGCCTCTGCATTTTTGGGGTCTTCCATATAAGAGACACTGATTTCTGAGGGGGAAGGAATTGAAGGAGATAGATGCTCCCACCACAGGTTATAATACGGATTCCATTGAACCTGAGCAATTAATTCTTTTGGGGATCCTCTTGCTGGGAAACCAACAGGCAAGGATGGAAATGTTTGATCTTGATTGTCATGAGGTTATAGATTTGCTGCCACACAATGGGAACAGAGAAAGGTTTGTCTGAAATTCAGAAAGCTAACTCAAATGTCACTTGGTGCTTTAATTCCTGGTGAGAATGATAATTTTGCAGTTGCAGCAATCAAGCATGACAAAGTAAAGGAATGTAAGGGCTTAGAACCCTAAGAGTTGAGGCTCTGAGTCACCTCATTAAACAAATGGCTTAGACCACTGAAGTGTGGAGCAAGGTTGAGGAGCATATGACATTTGAGGTGGTAGGAGAAGATGATGAATATGAATTAATTGCTTGGGTACCAGTGACGGGCTTGCCCATAGCTTAGTGCTGTAAACTTCTGTATTTGGACAGATTACGTTTGACAACCACCTTGAAGACCTGACTATTTGGACTCAGTGGAAGTAATGCAAGAATGGATTTCATCAGCTGCCTCTATTGCCACCTCCTATCCCCTTGGTCCCACCTTTGATTCCAGCCACAGCTATGATGATTCACACTGTCATGCAGACATTGACCACTCCATTGTTACTGCACTTCACCTTAAATTGGTCATGTGTTCCCACAGTACTCTGTTGCCATGGATGAGACACATTGGTAAGCAGCATGTCACTTAGGTATACACAGCCCTGAAGTGTGAGGACAGTCCTCAAGCACTGGGGAGTGAGAATTGATGAATAATAACTTTTGCATTAGTCTCAGTTTCCTTAGGAAGGCCTGGATTTATTGCCACCCACCTATCTATACTGATGGCCCAATTAATATGCTTTCCTTTGTATTTTCTCTTTTGTTTCTCCGATTTGGTCTAGATAATTTCATCTGACTTATCTTCTACATTATGTGTTCAGCCTTATATACTCTCCTTTTAAACACGTATATTAAATTCTTAATTTTAGGTATTTTCTATATTACAGTTCTAGAATTTTCATTTAGATTTTGATTGTAGTTTCCATTTGTCTGCTAAAATTTTCATTTTGTCATGCATTTTGTTGACTGTATTTATATTAGCTATTTTAAAATCAGTGTCAGATAACTCTAATATCTGACTGTGTTTGGGTCTATTTCTTTTATCTGTTTTCTCTTCCTGGTTTTTGGTCCAGTTATTTTGTTTTCTCACACAACCAGCAATTCATCTGAATGTAGGATGTTGCATGTAAAAAAAATTATAGAGAAAAATGGGGGCTTTGAATAATTTAGTTGTTCTCAGAAAGGATTCATTTTTGCCAGGAAATTGCAACAGCTCACCTTAATTTAGGTGATGATTGAGCTTGATTAGAGCTGGGTTTCAGCCTTTATGATAGCTGTTCACCTTTGTTCTTAGGGTACAGCCATTTAAATTTCAAAGCAAATGCCTGGAGTATTTTTAACAGCTTAATTGAAGTGCAATTTACATAACATAATATTTACTTATTTAAAGTATATCATTCAATAAGTGTTAGTATAGTTATGGGGATGGGCAACCATCTCTATGATCCAGTTCTAAAACATTCCCATCTCTCCCCCTGAAACTTCCTTTGTGCTCATTTTCAGCCACTCCCTGCACCTACACCCTGCACCAAGGCCTGGAGTCTTTGCCAGGGTGCTCTCCCATTCAGTATTCACTAGACATAAATATTCTTTAGATCAGAAAGGTAATGGAATCTCCTCAAAATCAGTCACCTATCAGAATTTTCTTTCTTTTCAATTACTTCACAGAGTATAATAACGTGGCAAATGACCTTAGAAAAAAGTAGTTTTTAACATTTATCTTTTCTCTTTAAGATATTGATCTCTGTAGTCAGTACATTCTCAGTAACTTCAAGCGCCTTTAAAGATTTATCTTTTATATTTTGACAAGTTTTTCTAGTTCTGAAAGCAATTTTTATAATTTAATGGTGGGATGCACTTGAGTACATTTGTATTTTGGGCAGAAGATTCCTGACGGGAGGAAGGAGTGAAGTCTCCCACACTTGTCCCTGTTTCTAAGACCTCTATCCCCCTGCTGTGTCAGGGCCACCTCAGAAATAAGTCTTGGCCCTTTTACCTTTTGGCCACAAGGAGGCGCTGTGGCTCTACAGAGCTTCGGGTAACTCAGAAAGAGCTCAGAGAGTTCTCTGGATGTGAGAGGGTTAAGAGAAAGATTGGGTTCATTTACAAGGGACAGTGTGGTCTGCAAATGCTGTGAGCCAATGCTGAAATGCGAGGGGTTAAATTCAGACAATGTGTTTTACGTTAATGTGCAGGTGTTTTTGTCCCGGCAAAGAGTCTGCTTTGCCAATCATCTTGCCTGTGAATTTGCATGAGATTAGAAGATTAGAAAGAAACTGGGAAGGGTGAGAGCAAACAAGATGCAGGTGGAGGACTCCTTCCTGAGAGGAATAAGAAAGGCTCTGGGGACTGGACTCTGCTTGAACTCAGCCCAGTCCTGCTGGGCCCTGCCTAGAAGTGAGCCCTGGGGATTCATAGGGATCTTGCAGAGACAGTAACAACTCAGGGAGATCT